AAAGAAAGAAAGAAAGAAAGAAAGAAAGAAAGAAAGAAAGAAAGAAAATTTTAAAATAGAAATAAATTGCACTTGAATATATAGCCTGAATTCCTGAATAGTGTTTAAGGAATAAGAATCAGAATTCTAAGGGGATTTTCCAGGAAATGCTGCTTCCAGGCCCCTGGTCAAGCCTTCCACCCTCCAAGCCCCCATGTCTGAAACCAACACTCTGCCCTTGTATCCGGATTTTCAGGTACCTCCAAAATGGAAGCCCACCTCCAGGTCAACGTGCTTTTCACCCAGCTATCAGCTTAAATATTTGGGATGCAAAGGAAGGCGAGAAGGGTCAGGTGGGGAAAAAAGCAATGCCCGAAGTGAGAAATTGCAAGATTATTAGCAAGGTGGCGAAGCCTTGTCTCTTGGAAAGAATGGAGTTAGTTTCTTCCCTTCCTCACGGAAAACACCAACAGTGGTTCTGGAAATTATATGATTGTTCTTTTACTTCTTACTCTTTTTCTGCACTTACTTCAAAAGGGCACAGTGATGGGATTATTTTATTGTTAATTGGACACAGACTGAATTCTCCATAATACATACTCAAAATCCCTCTGCATATAAATATAAATATATAATTATTATTGCTGTTTTAGTGTTATTGGACAAGGGCTGAATTCTTTCCTCTCTCCGCACTATATACCAAAAATCCTCCTGCATATAGATTAGGATTGCTATTCTGTTATCATTATTATTGAACAAGGCCTGAATTCACCTTCTCTCCACAATAAATAAGATCAATCCTTCTTCATATAGATTGTGCTATTTTATTATTGTTAGCCAAGGACTGAATTCTTGCCTCTCTCCACAATAAGTAATAAGAAATCATTCTGCATGCTGCAAATCATTCTTGTTGCTATTTTATTATTATTGGACAAGGACTGAATTCTCCTTTCCACAACAGAGAATAAAAATCCTTCTGCATATATTTAAATGATTGCTATTATATTATTATTATTATTGGATAGGGACTGAATTCTCCCTCTTTTCATAATAATTAGCAAAAACCCTTTTGCATCTGTAGAATTATTGCTACTGCATTATCATTATTATTGGACAAAGACTGGATTTTCTCTCTCCACAGTAAGTACTAAAATCATTCTGGCTAAGTTATTATTGTTGGCGATGTTAGCTCGGGAACCTCAAAAATGTCATCTCTACCCAGGCAGAAAGTACTCTGGGTACTTTTCAATGCACTACATAACTCCAAAAGGGAATAGCGCCATATATTCTTATTTTATGATGATAACACAAGGGCTGGGTTTTCCACACACCCCTGCAGTCCATAAACACCAACCATCATCCCGCATAATGCATTATTATTCCTATTTACTCCTAATTCTTTTTTTTTTTCCTGTGCAACTTATCTTGTACCTGTACAGGGATAATGACTATATTGTTGTGATTGTGGTTATTGTGGTGGTTATTGATGACTACGTTGGTTTTTCTCTCCTCCCCAGTAAAACTTGCTTATTATTCTTATTATTAGCGGGTCGCGAGGTGGAGGGGGGGAGGGAAGCGGCGGGATGTCTTCCTTACCTTCCCGATTTCGTGATCACCATCTCGGTGCCCAGTTTGTGGAACTCGTCCCAAAGGTCTTTAGCTTCCAGCGTGACTTTGGGGTCGTCTTCCACCTCTTCTTCCGGCTCCAAGCTTTTCAGGGACCGCAGATGGGCAGCCTGGTGATGATGTCCGAGAGCCGAGACGTGCAAGCCGGCCTCGGCGGCGGCTCCAGCCAAGCTGGGATCCGTCAAGGGTTTGGCGAGGGCGGCGGGAGGCAGAGCCAGCGCCGGGAAGAACGAAGGCTGGGCGGCCGCTAAGAAGGCGGACATGGGGAAGTCGGCTGGCCTGGGCGCGTGGAAGGGGTGGTAAGCCATCGCAGCCCCCGGGAACGCTGGATCTCTCATCGGGACATCCACAAAGCCAGGAGGGAAGAGCGAGGCCCCCCAGGCCGAGAGGGCCAGCGGGGGGAAAGAGGACGAAGCTGGCGGAGGCGGCGGCGGCCCGCTGAATTTCAGCCCGGCTTGCTTGGCGCTCAGCGGCGGGGGTCTAGTCAGTTTCAACCCGCCGGTACTTTCAGCCAGGCTGCCGTCTTCGTGTCCCTTCAAGGACTTGGCCAAGAGGGAGGGAGGGAGGGGGGAAGAGGGGAGCACCCCAGAAAATGGGGTGGTGGTGGGAGAGCCCAGCCCGCCCCCCCCCCGCCACAAACAGCCCCCTCCCCGGCGCCCCTCCCGCGATTGGAAACCTCCGGGCTGGCTCCCAGACGCCCAGAGGGGGCTTCTTTCGCTGCCACCAACGGGAGGGAGTCCCGCGGGAAGGGACCCCCCCCCCCAAAAAAAAGACCCTTTCCCGGGGACCGCCAAAAAGCCAAACAAGGAGGACCCGGGGGGGGGGGGGGGCAGGGGGCTCTTCCTCCGGGCGAAGGCGATTCCTCAACGCCTCCGGATCTTGCGGCTTTTTCGGGGTTTTCTAAAATAAAAATAAAAATAAAAAGAAGGCGCCTCTCCAGACCAGCTTGCAAACTTCGGAGGTTGCTTCGGGAGGGGGGCAGCAGCCGGGCAGAACAGCGATGTGTGTCCCCCCCTCCCCTCCCTCCGTCTCTCTCTCTCTCTGTCTCTCTTTCCGGGCGCCTGCAGCCTCGGGACCAAACTCCCGAGGAGAGCTGGAGTTTGGGTTCTGGGGGGGGGGGGCTGGGGGGGGGGGGGAAGGAGAAGAGCGAGTTCTTGGTTCCGGCCCCGTTTCGGTCTCCCTCCCCCCCCCCCCCTGCTAAAACTTTCTTCTCCGCCTTCAATCCAAAACGAAAGCAACGGCGGTGGGTTTCCTCCGCGGGTTTGGTTTGGTTTTTTGCTTTTTGTTGTTTTAAAAAGCGCCAAGCTCCGGCGCTGAAGCGACGAGGAGAGCCCGACGGTTCATCGCTCCGGCCGGGAGGGCTCCGGGTTGAAATGCTCCTCTCTTTTTGCCCTGCTGGCTTCGCTCTGCAAAAAGCTTTGCGGGGCTGGCTGAGTCTCGCGTGCGCCGCCTCGCTCCGCTCCTCGCTTCCTCCACCTCTTTGGCTCCTCCGCTCCACCCGCCTCGCTCGCTGCGCTCCGCTCCACCCGCCGCCCACCCGCGTCTCCCCCCCCCCGCTTCCACCGCCGGCGTGTTTCTACCTCTCTCTCTCTCTCCCTCCCTCTCTCCCTCCCTCCTTCCTCCCTCTCTCTCTCTCTCTCTCTCTCCTTCCCTCCCCCCTTAATGATTGTGGATTTTACGCAGCGCAGACCAATTGTGGAAGCTCAGAGGCGTGGTTTTGACAGGTTGGGCCCGTCTGCGGGGCGGGAGGGGGGGTGGCAGCCGTGGTGGTAGTGTTGTGTGTGTGTGTGTGTGTGTAAAGGCAGAATCAAAGAAAGGGAGGAAGAAAGCGGGAGGGGGGAAGAAGGACAGAAGGAGGCAGGAGGCGGAGGGAAGAAGAAGAAGAGAAAGGGGCGAGCGAGGAAGACTCGGCCGAAGGTGTCGGAAGCCTCCCCAGCAAGCAAACATGTCAACAGAATAAAATATTAACCAACGCTGGAGGCTTTGGGAAGGCCTCTTTTCCCCCCCTCCCACGCCAGAGCCGGGGTTCCCGGCGGCAGAGTCCAGGCCCCGCGGAGCTGCTGCCAACGGCTCCTTCTCCCAGGCCGCCGGGAAGCCAGCAAAGCCAGCAAACGCGCCGCCCAAAGCAGCCGAGCGCAACCTTAAGAGCGAAAGGCAGAAGATTGGCGTCCCGGGAGGGAGGGAGCGGGGGGAAGGGGGGGGTTTGCATGAGGGAGGGGTCAGGGAGAAGAGAGGCGAGGTCGACCGACCCACGGGGGCGTCCTAGTTCCACCAAGCAGGACTTCAAGGAAGGCCAATAAGGCCCCTTTTCCCAAGACCTTACAACACGCGCGCGGTTTGAGGGTCGCTGGGAATGCGGGCGCCGGGTTTTAAGCCCCGGGTGAGGTTTTTAGCTTCTTCCCCCCCC